ATCACATTTCACGAGATTTTGAACATAGTAAAAAGCAAAAGTGTACAAACTGAAAAACATAAGAATTAAACTATGCATAAAGAGGAATTCCATATCCATGACACATTCAAAAAAAAAATAACACCGAGGAGCTATGAACTTTACGAATAAAGTTAGACTGCAAATTTGCTTAGCCCAAAATGTTTGGATATGAATCATCACAAGAAATGCTTTAAAATAAAAAAAAGCGAACATAACAAGTGCTTTCTTTTTAGTTACAAATATTTCAAATTCAACAACTTTCTCTTTTAGCAATTGAAGGTGCTTTTCAAGAGGTGACAAAGATCAATCATTGATAATATAATAAATGATGCTAATAGTCTTAGCAACTAAAATTAATCAATCTTAGGAAGTGGTCTGATACCGCTTTTACCAAATTCCGGATTTCCCAGTAACCTGTTAAACGTCATCGTCAGATCCATAACATGCATACCGCTTGTTCGAAACAACAACTTCTTGCCATCATCTTTAACTTATATCTTTTTTTAAACAAATATCTAAGCTTATATATTTTCAGTTCAGAAAATTGGAAAATTTAATCACAAAATTATAATTTCTGTGAATGAAAAAAGCAGTTAAAAATATTTTTCGTTTATAACACTTACTTAAATTTGCACAAAAATACGGTGGTTGACGATCATTCCTTATATTACAATCTATTTTCGTCGAAGGATTTGTCCTTCGAACATGTGGTGAACTCATAAGAAACCAAAATGCTCTGAAATCCGAGTTTTAATCTCATATTCGTTTATATGCATAATTTAGAAAAGTGCATTACTTCAGACATGTATTAAAATTTTTGTAAAAAAATATTTTGGTATCTGAAAGAAAATTTTTGACATAATTCCAAACTGTAGAATAAATAAAATATGTATTGCAGTTGTCTAAATTTTATATTAAAAATTTCAAATTTTTCTAGGAAAGGAAAAAATGGATACCATATGTTACCTTAAAGAGTGACAATCATCGTAGAACGGATCAAGTGAAAAATGAATCGATTTGACATTTTTTAAATCGATTCCTCTCATTGCTAGTGCTGTTCTTTCTGCACTGCACCATCTGGCACCAAAACGTATTCTCTCCCACATTTTACACATTTTTCGTCCACTGAAATAAATTTAAGTGCGAAAGAACCCAAAATGAAATGAAATCTCTAATCAAGCAAGCTTTCCTCGTGCTACTTCAGCTCCCACTCCATTATCTTATCATATTCTAAAGAATAGTTAAATTTGAACTCGAGAACAAGAAGCTAATAAACTTGAAACAAAATTTAAGATAAAAAATGACACATCAAATATACAATTCATGTAGAAAAACTTGTGAAGTACCAACAAGATTTCATCCAAATTTTAACATTTATTGTAACATTTATTGTACAATCCAAATACAAAAGAACACCATGAATCACTAGTTCTTCCACTGCGAAACTAACTGGCATATCCTTTCCAAATTATCAGACATCTGCTCAACTGTCTCATTTTGTAATTCATAAACGATATCTTCCTAAAAAAATGTAGGATTCGAAGCTATAGTTGCGGTCAGAAATATCGAAAGACTATTTAATTATCGTTTTTTTTTGAAGCAGAATGAATAACCTTCAATATAGAGTACAGAATCCCAACCCACATTTCAATACATTATGGTAAATTTGGCTGGATTATAAAAATTCCTTTGCCGGTAGTAATAGAAGGTAGTAATAGAAGCAGCAGACGATGAAGAAAGTATAAATAAGAATAATCCATATATTAGAAAAATAAAGAATGAAAAATAACAGTAAATTAAGTTAAATGGAGTATTTGTATTCTTTTGTTGTGCTTTAAAAACGGAACAAAATAAAAGAGAATGAAAAAGAAATTTTCAAATATGGTAAAATGGTTTCGCAGTAGCCACTTGGATAATAGTCAATGAAATGAATTATTGAGTAACGAATTCTTGAAGTCTAATTCTTCCAGAAATGAAAATTATTAAAAAAAATTGAAAAAGCACTAACATCATACGAATCTTTAGCTTCTTCTAGTAATAATCCGAATATTTCACATTCAATATTTTCTACAATTTTCTTGCTGCTATAACCTCGAGCAGAAAGTCGATCGTAAAGAATTGTATTGTTACATCGTAAAACAAATATAAAATCGAACCATCTTTCCGGAAAGAGGTCACAACCATGATAATCTACTATATATCCTCCACTGTCTGAGTTCATTCTATCCTAAAGTTTAGTACTGAAAAATTCGTATAAAATAATGAAAACAAAATTCATAACAAATAACAAATCAGTGCTTAGACAATGAAGTTAAAATATATGATAGAAAATCATAAAATATCAATTTCGAAAATTCATGCTTTTTATATTTTAAACAACTTCTACAAGAAAACACGACGGTGATTCCTAAGCTTATGGTTAATCTCTTTTATTAATTAGATTCTTTTTACATGTTGCAACTAACTCTGTTGACTATTGTGACATATGTTTCAGTAACAGAACGACCTTAGTGAACACTATTTTCAGGCCAACAAAATACTTATTAAAGAAAATGAACAAAAAATTATTTGGTGATTTCATATAAATAAAATTAATCAAAGAGAAGATGTAAAGCAATAAAAAATGCAAAAAAGACATACTTCAATATGGTCCAAGAATTTGTCTTCATCAAGCACATGACTGCTAAACTCATCGTCATATTCCGAATACAAATTATTCTCAACGATTTCTTCACTACAGTTGATGTAGTTAAAACCTAAAATTTCGAATTTGTTTAACAACTAGCCGATAAATATGCTGCCTCTCATATTATTAAGCAGGAACAAACATACATTCAACATTGATAACTTAGATTTTTGTAAGATTAGTTTTGAATTCTGTAAGAAAAATCTCTTCTCACAAATTGTAGAAATTACCAGTAAAATGAGGGAGATTGTTTTCTTTTTTTGTAAACTAGTATCTCAACTGTTAATAATTTTGTGTCCACATAAAACCGAAGAACAGTTTAAATTTATTCCGGAATTTTCCCGGAAAGAAAAAAACGATTATGACCCATGAAATTTACACTTACCTAATTTTGTCGACAGTATTTCACAAAGCGTAGTTTTTCCAGTACCGGGTGTACCAGTTATAAGCAGATTTGGCTTTTGACGTGTTTCAGATGTGGACATTACAATTACTGTTTTAAAAAGAGGACTTAAAATAAAGTCAAATTTAGAACTGACAAACCTGCAACATTCATAAGCATTTTAATGTCGGTGAAAATCATGAAGTCAGATCATCTCAAACAGTTTCATGGCATCTTCGACAATTTATTGTCCAAGATAACATAAAATACATTCTTTCAAATTATATGGATTTATCTCGATGGAAGATTTATAAATATAAACTCCCCATTAAAGAAACCATGAAATAAGCATTCGACTATTAAAGGCATGCTTAACATTTATATCACGCTTGAGAAGAAATAATCCCGAGCACCAGTAAGTTTAGGACTAACGAATCAGTAGTATGATTTAACACTCAAACTAATGAAATCTTAAACTGTTTTTTTTAATGCTACTTAAGTTACTAATGTTATTAGGAAAATCCATGAGATGACTGAATTTTAATGAAATGTAATTTAAATTTTAAAAAAGTTTTCGCAATGGTTATAATACCTCAAGTTGGGAGCAAGAAGCATTCTTAATAATTTTAATTAACAACCAATCAATCAATAAATAAATAATGAATGAGCATATAAAGTATGAATTGTCAGCAAAGAAAGATAAAAAAGAACTCTTTACAATGAATTTTCGGTACGATCATAAAAACAAATAAAAAACAAAAAGAGCAGAAATTTCATATAATGTTATAAGAAACAGTGACTTTTCAAATCTTCAAAAATTCCTTCAACCCAAGGCTGTTTGTATATATAAAACTGAAGAAAATGCTGAATAAAATAGAGCAACAAAATGGATATGAATGTAATCAAAAATTTTTAAAGTGCCTTCTTTAAAAACAAACCAGTATATGCAAAACCCGGAAAAAATTAGGACTAGAGTTGACAGAAAAGTAGAAACAACAATAGAGAATTAAAGTCCAACTTTACCAAGCCTTTTATCAGTTTTTGGATCAGCTGTTAATTCCTGCACTGCAACGATAGCTTCATTAATCTTTGTCTGAACCTCACGTAAATTCTCCAGATGAATTAATCTTAAAGCTCGTATGGCAGCATCAATGGTACCATTCTTGCTAGATATCATGCCCATATCAAAATGACTCAATGGCACTGTTTTCTGTGAAAGAAGTAAAATTAAAAATGTTATGCAAAAATAAAACAATTCAATTATTAATCAATACACTTTAAAATCAAGCAGCCTACTACTAATGACCCAGTAATCAAATAAAGAATAAATTTGGTAAACAACTAAATAAAACAACCAAATAAACTGATTAATTGATAAACTGTTTGGTGAAAATTCATAAAATAAAAGATTTATTGTTTCCTATCTCTTCATTAAATTTTGGACCTTACCTTCTGCGTTTGCGCCTCCTTGTTCGCTGTCTGGATTGCTTCATTAGAAAGATTAGCCGTAATAAACTGAAATGAAAAAATTCATCTTCAAATCTTAATTATCTTTGCTCTTTTTATACTATTTATCAATCATATTGGAAATGTAGAGAAGAATACATACCTTACAACAAGCTTTCAGAACAACTAGAGGATCTGGATGTGCTGTTATTCCCAAAGTAACTCTGAGATCTTCGATACCTTTTCTTGCTTCTTCTGTAGAAACTACAAAAAAAATTAAATTAAGAAAGTGCAATAACTGGTGTAACAAGTGTTTTTGGTATCTTCGCGATGAGAGTAACGAAAAGTAAACTGTCGAAAAGTTAGATATTATGACACAAAAATGCAAAACCTTAGTTAAGCAAAATATTTATTTTAATATGAATATTTCGTTAATCCTTGTTAAAAATGTCTGAAAAATCTATGAAATTATATGAAACTTACAATCAATAGTACTGAGAGGATCATTTGCTTTTTGTTGCCTTTCTTTTTCAGCTTTCAGTTGTTCAAATTTCTGTGCGGTAAAGTTTTTCCCTTCAGCTATAAGAATATTCATATCACATTAAATCTATGTAATTAATTAATATCTATCAGTTCGAAACAGGTTACGTGAGACATATGAATCTTTTAACGACTAGTCTAACTGTTAAATTCAATTTTCCTATTTTTAAAATATTATTTGAAAAAATGACTTAAAATATTAACAGAAGAAAGAGAATTAGGGAAGCTATCCTAATTGGTTCTCAGAACTTCACCCAGATCTAAAATCGAGAAGGTTACAGAACATCACCCTGAAATTCTGAGAAGTGAAAACAATAGTAACAATTAAAACGGAATAAAATAAAATAATTCAATTGTTAATACCTTATTATTTTCTTATCAAATATTGATGTAACATTAGTTTAATACTTACCAATTTGTTGATAAGAAAAATCTATCGCACGAACAAGAAGCCAATCAATTATTTCTTGAGCTGAATCATTATCACAGGAAAGTGGACATTGCAAATCAGCCAAATACTACAACAATTAATAAGAAGATTATGAAAAATAGTGGCAAGAATTATTTTAAAACTAACAGACAAAATCACGAGTAGAACCTCAGTTTAATTTAATTATTCGATTTGATTTATTTAACAGCATCTCCTCTGCTGAAGTTCAGCTTATCAGTGTAGCAGTAAAACCATCTACAAAAAAGGAAATGTTATGTCGTACTCTATGCTCATAATCCAAAACGTATACAAATGTATAACGAGACTTGCTAGCTAAAGTTCAACGAATAATAATAACAGTGATCAGTATGGCTTAAAGATTAATCAAATAGTTTAAATCTGGTGCTTAAATTTACAAGTAATTTACACGTAAAGAAAACAGAAATACCTTTGCGTAAGATTTATTCCATACTTCAATATCTGATGATTGCAATCCAGCTCTATCCTCAATTTTATATAGTCTGATATGCTGATGCTCCACGAATAGCACTAATTCTTGCAGCTGTTCAGAGTCTACAACATATCATAGAATTTTATTACGTATCTTTGGAAGATGTTCGAAATATCCTAATGATCAGCACAAAAACTACGAAGAAAAACAAAGGAATTACTTTCACAGTCAATCGTATTTGTGGGATATCCAAGCAAAAGCAATTTTCTCTGCGACATAACGATTAAAATAGCTCTGAAACACTGAGAAACAATATAAAACAATAAACCATTCTGAGTTTATGCCGAATCTTCTGTTTCACCTTGGGAAATCAATCAGTCGAGAAGTGACACAATGTATTCTTTTCACACATAATATACAATATATAATACATTAATATTCTGTTAATAGAATATTATACAAGATAGAACACGAAGAATAACAAATTTTTATTCAATCTATTAATATTTTTATGCAGTTTTAATTAACAAAATTAGAATCCACAAATAAGTCTTAATATTAACGTCCGAAATATCACGTAACTTTTGAGAATGGCATGATTTCTCACTCGAATTTGAGAGGAAGTAAAATAGGAGAAGAGAGAAAGTCTAAAATCTTAATAACTAAAATAAGGCATGAAAGCCTAAAAGTTTAAATTATTTATATCGCCAAACACCGTAATGTCGTCACTATTAAAAGTTCTTTCTATTATAAGTAGAGTATTGTGCTTCCAGTAAAAGCTGAGTATTGTGCTTTATGGATTGTAAAATCAAAGCTTTATAGAAAAAATATGTAAATGTAATATGTAATATGAGCAAATTTTATACAAATTAGAAAACAGCAAATATCCATATCACGATAAAATACAGAAGTTTCTGTCTCTCTCAAATTCTTGAACAATATCTTTCTTTTTTGTTTATTATGTACTTCCTAAAATACATAAAGACTGTTTCTCACTGAGAAAGAAAGCATCACCAATCTAGAATATTATCTGCTTAGCAAACAACCAAACAGCAAAAAATAACACAATTTGCTTAATCAACACATGAAAAATTAATTCGATTCGATAAGATTATTGACAAATTTCTCGTTATAATCCCAATATCTTTTTCGTATCGGATCCAACTCTTTTAATTCTTGGAGTACTTGCACTGCTTGTGCAGCACTGTCCTGCAATTATAAAAACTCTGTTATTTATTTTTTCATCTATTCAATACATATTCAAATGCTATATCAGAATATTTTTCAACATACACATTGAAATTTCAATTCCGAGTTGGAATATCCATTTGCAATGATTCAAACCAAATCAAAACTTACTTTAACTTCTATTTTCTTCTCGATCCTTTCTATTAATATATCCACCAAGAAACTAAGACAAAGTGGCACACGTTTCTGCTCGCCTAGTTCAAGACAGAACTGCATTACATCCACTCGCGAAGAGACTCCTTTCTGGAATTTTAAATTAGTAATGTTTGAGACACTTCACGTTTTATTTGCATTATTTGCACTACATATTAGACATGTTTTTATTTTTAGTAAAATATAAATACCTAAGTTTTGTAAAATTTCGTCAGAATTAAGTTCTTATGATAGATATTAGTCGAAAATGGCAGTAAACTTCAGCCTTGATTTCTAAAAATCATCCTTTTAGAGAAAAAGAGGTAGGAGCAATTAGCAACTAGCAATTACATGGCAAAAATATGTTGAATTTTAAAATAAATGGTGTTTACACTTATGAACTTAGCATATAAGAATGCAATTTTAAAATACTAATTAAAATAAAAACGTACATCCAGCAATATTCCAGACAAGAAATTCCATGCACTTTCATTGCTTGGAATTTTCTTGATCATAGACTGAGTCATTAAAATTTCCCGATTCAAAACACTGGGATCCTTAAAAAGAGGAAAAACGATTAACAATATTTAACCGAAATGAACCATTTGAAGTATAAAATTAATAGTAAAAAGAATAATTTGTTTTCTGATTTGTAAGCAATTAAATATAAGTATTTTTTAATGAGAAGTTCAGCAGTTTTATCGATAAATCCAAGAATTTTGGACAACAATTTTAAATTAACAACCTTCAATGCATCCAATCCTTGAAGTATAAAGTACCGATAGTTCCAAGCTGAATTATTACGCATATCTTCGATTAAAAGCCCAGCACTGTAATCCAACTCCTGTTGACTGAATAACTTAAATTTTTCAATGACCCATTGACGGTGCTGCCATGAATGATAGTTCTTGGCTTCATCCTCAATCATTCGTGCCGTAAAATCAAGCTCTCGACTGGCATCGTTTGTCCACTCTACTAATGTTCGACGATGATGCCATACTTAACAATATCAATTATCCATATTGTAGCATTATCAGTAAGAATATTAAGCAGTCATACATACACGACTTGGGTCTATTTTCTTCTTTAAACAGCTCTCTCGGCCTCGAGAAAACAACATGTTATAAAGTTCAAAAGCACCACGAACCCTGATAATTCTTAGGATTTTCTTCAATCACTTCAGCAATGAAATTGAATTCTTTATTCAGATCTTTATTCAGTGCTTTGAGAAGAGAACGACGATACTGCCAAACAGTATAGTTAGCAGGATTCAAATCAATACACCTGCAAAAATTACTTGAACAAATCTTCACAAACTGACAACAAAACTTTTAAATATCAATTTACTATCCAAATAAGTTTATTATTTTTGATCAGAAACTTCTGAGCAGTCTCACATATTTTTTAATACCTTAAGATAGTGTAGTAATTTGCAAAGATGAATAACTGGCACTTGATGCATAACGCTGTACTATTTTTCAGTCGATCGCTGCATTACCATGAAGTGTAAATATTACAAACCAAATTAGTAAATACCTGTATATCATTATGTAACTGATATCTACTTACAAAATATGTAACAGTAAAATAAAATCACTTTGCAGTTAAATTAAAGGCTCTCTCCGACATCTCTTCGCTAAGCACAACAGCTCGCAGATACATGAATGCATCGTTAAAAGCATCACTGGTTTCAATCCGAACGGCTGCTTGTTCGTCATCCGTGAGTGGTATAGGATGAACATCATCCCATTCTGGATCATCCCGATAACGTTCAAACTGAAAATCATTTTCCCGTTTAAAGGAAAAAACTTGAAGAGAAAAACAAAATCATGAAAACTTAGTCCAAAGTTAATTTACAAATGTAATATACATTAATTTATAAATGTAATACACACAGGGTCAGTCTAATAATTATTCATCATATTAATAAGATTTCTTGAAGAAGCCATATATTAGAGTAGGTAACACTGCCTTAAAAATTCACGGTCCATATAATAAATTTCGAATGTCGAAAATTCAATTATCTAAAAAAGAAAAGAGCAAACATGTCATCAGCAACATTCTCACTTTTAAATCAAAGTACATTTCCACATACCTCAATTTTGTCCATTCTTTCGGATATATGTATAACTATAGCATTGTTCCAGCTGTAAATTTATTGCATAAATCAAATCAAGTGCACTGATATCCTTCCAAAAGTAGAATTAAACGTAAAATCTATAATTTCAAAATAGACGATTTGAATTAAAATCCTTGAAACGTACTTTACCAAACAACTCAAAATTCTTCTATATTTTATCAAGATGAAAAATTCATAAATAATGAAAGATTTTCATGAAATAACAACGTAACACAAGAATACACCCGCAATCATTTTCAACCATAAACAAAGTTTATTTCTTCAAAACTGAAGACTGATTTTAGCCGTAAGATGGTTTATGTGTGATACTGAAGCAGGTTTAGAAATAAAAAATTTGGAATACATAAATTGCGCATTTCAATATTAGAAATAAAATTATATATAATTTAAAATTTATTAAGAAAGTATACTGAAAATCCAAACAGTGATTGTAAACGGATGTTTACCAATACATAAAAATAATGTGTATCAGAATCAACAATCATTACAGTTAGCATTGACATTCAATGTTTATTAGTTAGTAATGCATCAGTGTACAAAAAATAATAATACCACAAATAAATAAATATTAGCATCATGACATAATATCACAATTATCTGTGGCGTTAATAACGATTTTTGACATTTTTGCACGAATTTTCTCCCGCTTCAACTCTAAGGCATCACATGTGGGCCGCTTTTTGATGGGTACATATGTTTTCGAAGTTCCACTTGGTCTTAAATAATCATCTAGACCGCTGTAGTCATTCTGCAATACTGGTGCAAGAACACCGATACCTTCAGCCATAAGTTGTAATGTGGCTGACCTGAAATTACTTAGTTTGCAAATATCTCGATAACGTTTATGGATTAGTATCTTTATCGTACAAAAATATATCAATTTTTTGCAACGTCGCAAGTGAAAAAAAGCCAATCTTTGAAAATTTATATTCCAATATTCTTGCACAGTCTTCCCGGATGTGACTACCAAAATTGCTTGATGGTGTGAAATATACAATGTAACATGCAAAAAAAGGTTTGTAATATCTTTTAGTTGCAGATTTTTGATCTGGTTTTTGTTTTGCTTCACTTGTGTGTTTACAGCAGTGAAAATTTAAAGAAGAAAGTGAGAAAAAATAACTGGAATCAAAACTTACAGAGATTGATAATGAGCCCAAGTTTTCAGAAGAAGTTTTCTGATAGATTTCAGAGAATTAATATCCCATCTCCAAGAAAGCTCCATCTCATCATACACACAATCAAACAAGCACAACGGAAAAGCCGGAGCTAATCCATAAATTGGTTTAGAAGGTGTAAGCCTGATATCGAGAAGTTCAGTGATAACCTTAAATAAAACTGAGAAATTTAATTTACCACTCGTACATGGACATTTTCAATTGATGACAACACGAAATAAGATGATTGTTGATTAAAAATCATCATTTCCATGATCACTGCTTTCAAAATATTAGTCATATTAGAACTTACCTCTGGCTTTTCATTACCGTGGCCAATTTCACACAGTAGAGCCACTATACAACGAATCTGATGCCAAAGAAAACCGCTTCCTTTGATAGTAAGTTGCAGAAATTCATAACAAGTAGCTTCATCGCTTAGTTTTGGTGTTGGTAATGAATTATTTCTAGAAAAAAATTCTTGATTTCAAACTTCTCGTTATAAATAAAAAGTAGCAATGGTTAAGCTACTGGAAACAATAAATGACAGTGCTCTTGGTGTTGAAAAATGAAAATGCCGCAAGAAATGTATACTACCTGATATCAAAATAATTGAGAAAACATTTCTTTTTAACTTCTAGATCATCAATCTTTAAACAATTCCTTTCTTATCTCAAAACCATTAAATATGTACAATATGAATGATATATCAGCATAAGTGATAGTTCGAATATAATTCATTTCCACTCTTTCTTTGTTCATGTCGATACGACAGAAATTACGAAAATCGTGTTTGCCAACGAGAAATTGACAAGCTTGTCGCATTGCCTACAAAGTAGACATTAAGAAGAAATTTTTGCTGAAAATTTCACAAAATATATTTGGAAAATTTTACACTTGTATTAAAAATCAAAGTAATTATATCAAGAACAAAAAATATTCAAGATTTGATCAAAAATACTGGTATGCGAAAATTTTTCAAAAATTAACCTCAACATTCAAATTGGCTCGGGGAAAAGCATACATGTAAGTACGTTGAGTGCATTTATATCTGGCACTGAAATCTTTAGGAACTGGAGACCAAGCTAGCACCCGAATATTGGTTGATAATGTACTATTTAACATTTTCACGTACTGAAGCTCTCCATTCACAGCAGTTTCGGATGATGTATGAGCGATAGTAGACCCTTCTTCCTTTGGTTCATTCGACCTCAAAATCTATAGATTGCATAAATAGATTAAAGTACAACAAATGAAAAAATTTTTTTAGAAGTAATGCAAAACCGAAAAAACGGTATATATATATATATAAAATTGTGTTATTAAAAAATATTAACACTTCAGAACAAACCTTACAATGACAGAGGCAACCTGTTTGAAAGCAGATACTCCCTTATCGGTCCGACCACTCCGATTCCAATCGCAAGTTTCCCAACTTTCGATAAGCTTCGTCTTCAACAAAGCCTTCTTTATTTCTTCCTCAACCTGTAAATCACTTCCTCAACAAATATGAATATTTATTTCCATTTTCAAAAAATTGTTTTAAAAATGACTCAAAGCTTCCAATTTTTGAAAGCAAATACTGAGAGCAAAAATTAACATTGAAATCAACATACCCGCCGAAGAATAAATACTAAGGACAAAAATTAAAAACACTGAATGAAAATACAGATAATTCTTCAGGGTCTACTCTTATCCTGCTAACTAATTATATCTCATCCTATAAGATTACAATAGTCAAACGAAGACCAGTTTAGCAGAATTTTCCAATGATGATTTTTTTTGCACTAAAATACAACTTACAGTTCCAGAAATTTCTCGTTGCTCAACCAATCCATTATATTCCCAACCAAAATACATGAACATCAGGGCAATCCGCCGTTTCGGATACCGTGAAAAATCGAATTCACGCTTTTTCTCCTTCTTTATTTTTTTGTCGTCCGATAAGTAATTGATATCTATTTCTTCACCCATATCATTAGTTGCAATCTGCAAGTATAGGACAATTAGTTAAATGTTGCAAATAGATGATGGAATAGTTCCTCTCAATTTTTAACTAAAAATCTAAATTCTCACTTTTTCCTCTCTTAAAATTGATATGAAATCAACATGCACGACATCAGCATCCGCTAACTAAACCTGAAATATTGTCATTTTGTTAGTGAGTCCGCGAAATAACTTTCGCTGCATGCAATTTTCAGAAATATACTTTCAAACAGCGCAAGCCAAAAAAATTAGTTGTTTTTCAAAAAAAAAAAACTAATGAAATAATCAAATTCACATAAGGCAGCGAAAGTACGAAAGTAACTATTTGGGATATAAACTTTTGTCGAAATAACTCTCTAAGTCTTTAAGTCCTATCCATCAGCTAAACCTGAAATACTAGTAGATTAAAGTTAGTAAGAAGAATTTCATCATCATTTATGAGAGAGTAATACGCTATCAAAGAACGAATGAAATAACCCAAAAATTCAATTCACAAAACCGTTTCAGAAGAGGAAAATATGTGAAGTTGAAGTGAAGTAAAGATTAATGAAAAATTGCAAAAAAATTAAACAAATAAAAGATTGGAACGAGAAGGAAGAAAAATAAAATATGTGACAAAGGTAGGGGTCCGAAGTCAATTTCCGGATCAGTCAAATTCGATCAGTGAAATAAATGACTTGAAATATTTCTTGTCGCTTGAGAAGGTTAGGATTTCAGTTGCGATATAGTTTATTGAAATGGCTGGAAAAATTGGCCAAGTAAAAAATGAATGTTAAAGTAGACTGGGACAGATGTGACTAGGCTTGGTATATAATCATATTATATCATGGTTGCACGAGAAATTCTAATGATCTTGTTGTAATTGATTTATTCATCTTTTATCATATTTTATCAGTATTGCTATATCAGTTAACCTTTGTGATAGCTAACTTTTCATCATCATTTTTATGTAAACGTTAAACATGTCGATAATTAAAGCAGACACTTCGGCGTAACAAATAGTAATCGATTTTCAATTCCACATGAGAAATAGTAAAGTCTTACAAGGTAGGATATTAACAACGCTTTATTCAGCATTTATGTCTCTCATATTTTCCATCTCTGTTTTTTTCTTGATTACTATGGCTATTTGTTAGCATTAATTTTGTAGATTACGCTATTTTCTGAAAATGTTTTTTCTAGAGACATAGGTTTTGATTATATATTGCAAAATATATTCATTAATATTTTGAAAGTTTCACAATATTAATATACCAAATTGAACTTTATTTTACAGGAATAATTGTTTATTTTTTTTTTACATTATATGGTGAAAAAGTACTAATCAGTGTTGCTAACATTGATTGAATATTATTGAAATTTCTAGAGGTGCATTACTCATTATCATTATTTGAAGTTAATTTTACATATGCAAGATAATAATAGATAGTTCAAAGAATTTTGTTTTTTTTTTTAGTTTTCAATTTCAATTTGTATATGTGTGTTTTCGTTTATTTAGTTAGAGTTGCTGATTTATTTATTCAGTTAGAGAGATATATAAGTTTTAGAGATGTGAATTAGAATTGGAAATTCATCTTTAGCCTAATATTGATAGAATGAATGAAAGCAAAAAACGTTAGTGTATCATCAATTTTATTGGATTTAAGCAATCTCGATAATTCATGGCATTTTCGGTAGGTATTTCTCTTAATTTTTATATTCCATTCATTAGCTCAAAAAAGAATATTTTGCAAAAATTATGCTATTTTAATTTTGTTTCAATAATTCTATACGAGTTTGAACTCTAAATTCATCAATGAGTATACTGTGATTTTTCGATTTCTTCTTTCATCATTTCTCATATTATAATGTATTGATAACAACTTATCATTTATGCATTCATTGATATTTTGTCAAATTTTCGGTTTGAATTATTTAAGTTTGACAATTTTTCACTTTTTCGACATTCATTTTTTGCTTTAATATTTCTTTAAAACTTTCATTCTTTGCACTGTTTTACTCATTAAAAAAAATAATGCTTTATGTCCTGAACTTTGTCCTGAACATTCATGACATTAATATAATATGACATTAACCTTTGAAAAATATTGTAGCCATTTAAAAATTGAAGAATGATTTAGTTGAAGTAAGTTGATGAAAAAATTCTGCGAATAATTTAGCAAAATCTATTTCAATAACTATTTTTGAAATGAAAATCTCTCGTCTACTTTTTTTAAACCGTTTGAATTTCTGTTCATTTTTCAAATAATACTACTATGCAAGATTAATGTCATATTATAACAAAACAACTAATAACACTGCACAAATAGCGATTTTCCACAGGAGATGCCTAAAATTAAAAAAAAATTCTCGGCGAGGCAGCAGGCAACCAGTTAGGTGACGAAGAGTGTACCGAAATAATTTTAAAAAAAAAATCTCACGTTCCACCTTCTTGATAATCAAAATTAGAAATGAAAATTTAAAAAAAATAAATCACAAAGAATTAAAATTATTTAACTCAAACAATAAAACACAAAAATAGGAAATTATGAGATAATGAAATACAATAAAAATTTACGAAGAACTGTAACATTCCACAAAATGAAACCAAATAGATATAATATAAAAATAATAAAATATAACGTAAACTAAAAAGAAACAAAATAAGTAATAAAATTACCGTTTCTTTTAGTTTGTGAAGTAATAAGTTAAACAATTAAACTATAATAAATTACTCGAAAAGGAAGTTGAAGTGCCTGCCAAGAGTAGAAGAAGACTATTTAAATCAGATTAAATCAAAATAAATAAAAAAGAACCCATAACTCATTCTGCGACAAATAAATGATTTTAGTAAAATTTATGAAAAAAATAAATAAATACACTTATATAAGAAAAATCTTGGGTAAGCCAACAACGAACCCAAGAAATAAATATTTAAATTCAAGCCAAAAATAAATCGATGCATGCACTGATAATAATAACTCAGACTAAGAC